ATTAGGTATATATATATATAAAAGGGAGTTTAACACCAAAGTTATTAATTATTTATGATTTATTAATATTAATATTAATATAGGAAATCATAAAGGCACCATAAAATATTAATCATAACAAGATATAAATTATATTAATTATTAATTATGGACAAACATTAATATTTATTAAGATTAAAATATATAGTTTCTTTTATTTATTTATATATATAAATGAAAAGGTAAAACAATAATATAAGAAATATAAAAGATGCAATAAATTCAATGAAATAAAAATATATTTAAAGAAAAAATAGTCCAACATGACAATTGTTAGTTGAAGATTTTGTACATAATCAAATTAAAATATAAAGCAAAACAATGATAAAAATATATTTTTTTGTTTATAAATGTCACGCAACATTGAAGTGTGAAATCGATAATTCAGATCAAGGTGAAGAATGCTCTAAGTTGGGCGTTCGTGTGATTCAAGAAAGCCGGCTAAAAGGTTGCATGTGACACCTTTTAAAGTCAACATTCAACAACACCCTTTACCCAATTCAACGTTACTATGCCCATTTAATCTCACCTAACCCACATGGCCATGGATAGATTTTTCGTTTTTTTTTTACTACGATCCACCGAGATTCTTTTTAATCTTCAGAAAATTGTATCTTCTCATAAACAAAAAATAAAAATAACACATAATAACACATATGTTTTTAGTATTTTTATTTTATTTTTCTTGTATACATAATAAAAAATTATATTAAAATAAAAAAAAAACCACATGTTATCTCAGTTTTTATATTTTCCTTTTCATGACATATATCATTTTATTTTATTTTTATCACTCCTTATTACAAAACCCGTCAAAAAGTGTCAAAAAAAATTGTTTTAAATGATTAGACATATTTTAAGATATAATTTTTGCTCCAATATGAAGGACCATTCCTGAAAAACTCTAGTTGCAGCATAAAACTTAGAACATTCAAATTCAAATAGTATAATTTGTTCCTTAAATATGAAGTATATATATATCTACTGGTTTAGTATGTTAGATATGAATCTTTTATTTTTAATTGTAATATATCCCCTAAATCATGTTACTTTTTTTTTTTTGAGAGGCTAAATCATGTTACTTATTATTATTAATAATTTCAAAAAAATAATGACATTTTGACTATTAACCTATAGATTATATATGTTAATATAACTATTATTACATATGATTTTGTAAATCTGGACACCATGTTCTATCTGCTGTTGGTGCTACTTGAATGATGCATGCTAAAATGATGCTACTTGAATGCCACATAATACTTCACTACCTGGATGCCTATATGGGTCTGATAACATATTCCAGTACAATCAATCCTCCACCACTATTAAAAAAAAAAGTTAATATAAATTACTAGATTATATCAAATATGCTCTATTACACCGCCTTTATATATTAACAACCTCAGTGAGGTTAAAGCCTCCAATCCTAGTCCTTCTACATATTTTATTAAGAAATTAAAAGTATATCACAAAAATTACTCTCTATATAATAATCTCATAAAAATAATTTTTTTATAAATAAAAAAAAAAGCTAACGTGAAAGAATTGATATTACATTGACTTTCTACTGTAAAACTATATAAAAACTAGGTCACTGCAAGTTTAAGAAGCCGTATTACTACTTGCTTTTTATCCATCCATAGCTTAAGAAAGATGCAAGACTTTTCCTCCTCAGACGATTCACTCCCCAAGAGGTAATCACTAATCAAATTAATAATAATTAATTAATTCTATGAATAATATATATAATTAAGACAATGCAGGTTAGGAGGCAAGGTAGCACTCATAACCGGAGGAGCCAGTGGCATTGGCGAAGCCACAGCGAGGCTTTTCCTCCGCCACGGTGCCAAGGTCGTCATCGCCGACATCCAAGACAACCTCGGACACTCCCTCTGCCGCAACCTAAACTCCGACAACATTTCCTATGTTCACTGCGACGTCACCAACCATAACGACGTCAAAACCGCCGTCAACGCCGCCGTCTCGCGGCACGGCAAGCTCGACATCCTCTTCAGCAACGCCGGAATCGGCGGCAGTCTGGAGCCTTCCATCATGGCCCTTGATCCCGTGGAGTTGAAGAGCGTTTTCGAGGTGAACGTGTTCGGCGCTTGTTACGCGGCGAAACACGCCGCTGAGGTGATGATTCCGAGAAAGAGAGGGAGCATCGTGTTCACCTCGAGCGCTGTTTCGGTGACTCACCCGGGTTCGGCGCACGCGTACACGGCGTCGAAGCACGCGGTGGTGGGTCTGATGAAGAACCTGTGCGTGGAATTGGGGAAGCATGGGATCAGAGTTAACTGCGTTTCGCCGTACGCGGTGGCCACTCCTATTCTGACACGTGGCATGGGGATATCGAGGGAGAGAGCAGAGAAAGTGTTCTCTGAGGCAGGGAACTTGAAGGGAGTGATTCTAAAGGAAGAGGATGTGGCAGAAGCAACTTTGTTTCTGGCTAGTGATGAGTCAAAGTACGTGAGTGGTGTTAATCTTGTTGTGGACGGAGGCTACAGTGTCAACAATACTGCTTCTGCTGAAGAAGCTTTCAGAAAGTTTTCTGCTAATTAGGTCAAATGAAGGTTTCTCTAGGAGAGTACAAGACAGCAACTTCTACCAAAAGAAAATCCAAATTTATATATCTATGCTTCTTTGAAACGGTGTGTGAAATAATTCAACTTGTTGATTAATAATGGATGGTTTAGCAGCATGTATTCATTGCAAGGAAGATGTTGGTGTTATGAAACTTAAATTAGGAGTTATTTTGCTTTAATAATATTAATGGTGTGATAAATTCTCTGGCATCAACCATATATATATATATATTATTTTTACATTACTTGTATTCACAAATATTGATCTACTATATTAGAGTCACATCTTTATTAATTTATTAACGAATGTTTTTACTTTCATATATTATTTTATAAATTTTATATTATAAATTATCATAAATATTTTTTAAACTAATTATAAAAATTAAAAGAATTTTAAATAAATGCAAATGACAATGTATTACAAAGTAATAGTTTCATCTTTGTATTAAAAATATATTATCCTTCTCTTTTTCATCTATCTTTTAACATAATTGTACAATAAAATTTTCTATTTTGAGAGGGATACATAATCCCTCACAGATTGTGACAGAATTTGTGACGGAATACAATTTTTAAAAATTATCCGTCACAGAATCTGTCACAAATTGTGAACGATTCAAAATCCATCACAAAATCCTAATTTTTTATTTTTACGAATTTTTAAATAAAAAATAATTAAATTATTCCAGATTTATTAATTATATAATATATATTATTTTCACCTTTTTTTTCTAATATACAAGTGTTAATTATAAAGTGTATTATATAATATATATATAACACTTTATAATTAATTATATATATATTTTTACCTTTTATTAATTATATAATATATATTAAATTATTCCATTTAAGTGTATTATAAAGTATGATGATAATATTTTTATATATTTATTGATAGACTTAATTG